TGCAGTGAAGTTGCTATTTATAAGCGACATTACGCTTGCTACAGTCACTTTTTTTTAATTACATCTGATTGATTTTAAGTGATATGTCTTGATTTAATCATGTGGTGTTCCTTTCACTTCCTTACGAACTATTTGCAAGCGGTAATCTTCACAGAACTATGTCCTGCTCTTCTTTGCGCAGACAAGTCAATTCGATGTTTATTCATGAAAAACACTTATATTACAACTAAAACGCGAGGTCTAGTTCAAACGTTTTCTGATCAGTATTATAACATACAAGGACGTACGTAGTAAAGCTTTTAGTTAGAAAACGGACAAGGATTGACCAAAGCAATTTCCAAATTTAATTTGACCCCATATTCGCAGGCTTTCGTAGATGCATAGTTTCATTGTTTGTGCATGTGGTTCATATTTCTTTGTTGTTTGTTAGTTTTATCTTTTATAGACTGTTTCCCGGTTAACAGTTTAGTTTCAACTTGGGAATCAACGCGCTACAACCGATCGAGTGATGGAACAGACCACGACCATCCTCTACTTTCTGTATGATCTAAACAAATTCAAAGCTTTGATGCTCGACTATGTGGTCGCCCATTTACAGGTAGTGTATATGCAGGTAAATTATCAAATTATGTGTCCACTATGTAAATAATGTATATTTATCTAACACACACACACACACACACACACACACAAACCCCCCCCCCAAAAAAAACCCCAAACAAACAAACAAACACACGTATTCATATATTCTGTTTCTGAGTCTGTCATTCGTTTATTCTAATGATGAAATGGGTACACATATCAATAGTCATACCCAGCATGACCTAACTAGTTCTCAGAACCAGCCGGTTGAAAATTGTGACGTGGGAGGATACCACCGCTGCAGTGTGTTTCTGTTGGCAGCACCCCGGTAGGCTTAAATACCTGCAATACGATGAGTGAGTGAGTGATTTCAGTTTTACGCCGCACTCAGCAATAATCCAGCTGTATAGCGGCGGTCTGTAAATAATCGAGTCTGGACCGGACAATCCAGTGATCAACAGTATGAGCATCAATATGCATAATTGGGAACCGATGACATGTGTCAACCAAGCCAGCGAGCCTGACCACCCGATCCCGTTAGTTGCCTCTTACTACAAGCATGGTTCATTCTAATCCGGACCTTCACGGGTCTGCAATACGATGAGTGCGTAGCATAGTGCTAAGAATACAATAAGGAGAGTGCGTAGTACAGTGCGGAGAATGCATACAATAAGAAGAGTACGTAGCATAGTGCGATGGCTAATGCAGCATCCAAACGCCGTTTCATTTATGGAATTTGTTGCGTAAATTCAAGTACCTGTCGTTAGGTACACCTTTAGACTTTTGCAATGTTTTTGGCGATTGTTTCCAGCTAGTTAACAATCTGAGAACGTAGTATTATTTTTGTCTGATCCAAGATTCACGTGTGTACTTTCTTTTGTTAGGTAGCTGAGTTCACAGCACGGTCGGCTGATGGCCTATCAGCGCACGTGAACCTTTTTTCACTGCCTACCGCCATACTATAGCTGGAATATTGCTAAAATCGGCGTAAAACTATACTCACTCACTCTTTTCACTGTATCAGCCGTTAGACGGGACTTGATTATTTACAGACAGGCCGTCATATACATGTAATATTTCTGAGTGCGTCCTCAACACCAAGCAGTTATGGTGTCGTCTCACGACGCCGACCTTTTGATTTTCCACTAGTCTCAGGACGCCGACCTGCGGTTTCCTTTGAAGGTTAGGTTCTGATTAGACGTAATTAGGGTTGCGGATAATCTACTCTAGATGTTTTAATAAGGTGGAATCGTCGCACTAGGTGAACATATCGCAGCTCACATGTCCCTTACAATTGATTGAAAAGGTTACAATAACAATTACATGTAGTAGGGTGGTAATATTGGACACTGTTCAAATCTTTGGTATAAATATGGCCAACGGATTCACAATCGACTTCGAAATGGCAAATGCACAGTTAGATCAGAGATTCATCCCTACAGCTCACGGCATCGTTACTTGGTTGTTGGCAGGTTCATGTACAGAGTCAACAAGAGAAAACGAGACAGGATATCTTGGATATGTACTGTAGAAGACTGCAAATCCACTGCATCAACAACGGATGACAACGAATGTGTGCTATATATATCATGAATAGGCATCGGATATGCGATGTATTTATTGAAAATGTCATATATTTACTTATGTGAATCATTGTAAAAAAACGTTAAAATCTGTCAAACTGAGTTTGTTGATGGGTGCTTCAAGTATACTGATAAGCGGATAATATATGAACTGTTGTCGTATTCTCATTAGGTGAAGGAGCACAAAGCTTCTGTACAAAAAATGGACCAAAAATCAGCTCTCTCAGAGAAAATCGTCAAAAACCCTACTCACTCTGTTGACAGGCAAAAATCAACCATATTAACCACTAAAGTCCACGATTGGCTCAAGCGCAAACTATTAGAGTCTTTTACCATATAAGACAATTACAACCGCAGCTGAACAGGGATCAAAGAGTATACCTCCCCAGTGCCTGGGAAGTCAATTAGCTCATTACTGGCTTCTTATACCCACATCTGCTAATCACTTGCATAAACACTTCTCCTGTATGCCCATTATCTGTACATCTCACTCTTTCATCTGTTTCTTATCCAATTTATTGTATATAAACTCTGTCAAAAAAGAAACGCAACCCCTGTATTTTAGAGATTTTGATCTGAAGTTTTAGGACGACACGGCATTTTTATTATTTAAGACAGAAGTCTGAAATTTGGCAGAATAATAACCCAGATGGGCATGTTTAAAATTGTCGTTTCAAAAGTCATCTCACAGACACCAGTTTGTCACCAGGGGGGCGTCTTTCTCAGTATCTCGTATGAGCACCACGCGCTGCAATCACTGCACGGCATCTCCTTGGACAAGAACGGATAAGACGCCGGATTCTTTCCTGGGAATGGCTCTCCACTCCTCCTGCAGTGCAACGGCGAGCTGTTGCAGCGTCTGTGGCGGCGGCTGACGTTGACGTACGCGTCGATCCAGAGTATCCACAGGTGTTCAATAGGGTTGAGGTCTGGTGATTTAGAGGGTCATGGCAAGACATTGACGTTGGAATTCTGCAGAAAGTTCATTGTTGCACGTGCAGTATGAGGCCGGGCGTTGTCCCGTTGAAAATCTGTGTCTGTTGGTCAATAATCGGGAGAAGGTGAAGCTCTAACACGTGGTTGATGTAACGTTGGGCTGTCAGGTTCCCTGGAACGATCACCAAGTCTGATTTCTGGTTGTATGAGATGGTTCCCCAAACCATGACGCTTTCTCCGCCAAATCTGTCCACCTGTCGGACGCAGATGGGCGCAAAACGTTATGACGTCTCCTATACAGACGCTGTCTTCCGTCGTGACGTTGCAAAAGAAAACGTGATTCATCAGAAAACCAGATTCGCCTCCAGTTTTGTAAAGTCCGTATCCTTACGTTGTTGCACCACCTGAGTCGTCGGCGTCGATGTAGGGGGCGTAGTACAGGTCAACAACTGGTCTACAGGCACGTAAACCCGCTTCTTTCAGACGGTTCCTAATCGTTTGAGCTGACACTCTCCTCAAACCTGGTATTTGTGTGGCAGTCACGGTTGATAGGGCATGCCGATTACGCAGGTGATGGACCCGGATGTACCGATCTTGAAGGGGTCGTGATTCTTGGCCTTCCACTTCTCGGGCGATCGTTGGTCAAATTGAAGTTGTTGTAGCGGCTCCAAAGTCGGGATATCGTTGTTTTGTGAACATTTAGGTGCCGTGCAACAGTTCCAAAACTTTCTCCGGCTTGAACACGACCAATGGCGATATTTCGGTCGGCAGCACTCAATCGTGGCATTTTAACACAGCTTTTCGGCGACAAATGAATGAAATATAATACGGAAGCACATGGGCTTTTATACACCCCTACATTAACTGCCATTTTCATGATTTGCATGTGTTTTTTTTGTGCGAAGTCACCATGAGGGTCATTTCATGCGTTGTGACGGAATAAGCAATAAAATACACTTATGCGTACAAATGCAGTTGTTTGGATGGTAATCTTCATTAATTACGTGTATCATTTCAATACATTCGAATAAAATTTAGTTTGGAAGCAATAACTTCATTCAAACGAATTTTTCATATCTGAGGACAGGGGTTGCGTTTCTTTTTTGACAGAGTTTACATTCAACACTGGCTTCTTCTACATTTAGTATATATACTCATTGATGTATCTTGTTTGTTACAATTCACCTGACGAAGGGTCAGGGAATAGCCCACAAACGTTGTGACATACAATAAAGAAGAAGTTGTCATCTATAATATTCGCGTTTTACTTGAACACCCCCAATTGCGCAGATCGATGCTCATGCTGTTAATCACTGGATTGTCTGGTCCAGACTCGATTATTTACAGACCGCCGCCATATAGCTGGGGTATTGCTGAGTGCGGAGTAAACGATTCTTTACTTTTCCTCGAGGGCTCTGCAAGTCACCTTCAGTCATTCCATCTAATCGCATGCGCTATTGCAATCTTTTGAAGCTAAAGAGAGATCCCTGAAAAGAAACAGAAAACATAGATGTTGATAATTGTCAATGATGTTAATGAAGTTCCGGTTTTTCAAAGCCTGGTGGTTGTCATGGGTCGGTCTTGCAAATATTATTAAGTTGCTGAGATGCATCTGCATAGCAGGTCTGGGTCTGATAATCGACACGATATATGTTTTCGAACTTCAGTCACTTCATCTTCAGTTTCATAGCAGATCGAATTACGCAACATCAGTTCTCCAGATCTACTTTTGTATCACTTGTAGTTAATGAGTAGCCACTTCTCATGAACTGAGACATAATATTTGACATCCCATTGCTGCTAACGCATTGAAGTCAACAGTTACTGAACTACTGTCACATTGGTTCTCAGACAGCCCATTCACGAAGTCAAGCAGCAATGTGAAGCTAAATATCTTACTGGCAAAGCATCTTGTCCCTGACGCAGTTGTCACACACGACGGAGCCGTTGGAGATGCAGTAGGGTCCTTCAAGGTAGCTGAAGCAGTCATCGGAGCAGGAGAAGGCGTTCATACGAGCCTCTGTCACCTGGTAGGCGGCTAGTTGATAGAAACAGAGCTTGCTATTGAGTGTTCCCAAACAACAATTTCACACTCTTATTGTATTTTTAAAGTGGATATTTTCAGATTGCCATTCAGAAAGCCTTATGCTAACACTATTGGTGCACAAAATATATTTTCAGCGGAATTACTCGTCATATGAGTACAGGAAATACAGGAAGTGCGTGGGTAAGAACACTCTCATTTTGGTGGCTATAACAATTAGAAACATCCGTTAAGGCATGCTCATCTGTTCATGCCAATAGTGGTTATACCAGGATTTTGACAAAAGTTGAAAATATCCTGCCCCACCAATGAGCCTGGTCATAAACATCTTGCAAAGACACGTCAAGTGTTCATTGAACAAACATGGGGATACTAGTTAATATACAACACGGAAATAGCACGGGGCAAATTTGGGAATGACATCACAAGGTCTACCATGTAGCATTTTGAAAGTTAAAGCAAGAAATTGCATGCTGTAACCCTGTCCTGAACTCAGCTTTGACAATGAAAAGGCTTTGCAATAATACAGATATTTGTTTGAAGGTAGACCTGTTAATATATGTTACATTCTTGAAAAACGTTCCGACAAAGTGACAAACATTGCACTCACCGAATCCAACAAGAACGAGGAGGACGAGGACCTTCATAATGATGATGTTCAGAGTATCTGCTGCTGACGGAGTTGGCTGGCGTATGAAGTCGAGTCGGTTGAAAGTGTTGGAATAAAAAATTCAAGCTTCTTTTATACACATTCTGCTAATTAGGTTGTCAGAAATTACAGCTTAAATATGCTAATAAAAACACAATTATCAATATTATACAGTAAAAAAATCAGCATGAGGCACGCTCCCTGGCGATCACTTGACATGATAATTTGATATCCTCGCACATGGTCAACATTTATTTGCATGCACCTCCTTAAACACCTCCCACTTAACCCCGCTACAATTCTGCCCCGTGAATTACCCCTTCTCTTGTAACGAATTGTGCTAATTGCTAATTTATATGCATGCTCCTCATGAATTATTTAACACCACCCACGTAACCCCCTACAATTCTGCCCAGTGAACTACCCCCTCTCTTGTAGGCTGTTTGCAAAATCTGTAATGCTTAAAACGAAATTTGCAGTAGACACAGGTTATTTGGAGGTCTTCAAGACGGTAAGGTCTTCATCCTTTCAGTGTTGTTGTTGCTGTTACTTCGAGGAATAAGTGTTTTATATTTGATATGTTTAATTGCAAGCTAATAAGTTATGTAAGTATAAGTATGTGTGATACTTTGGTTATCCGTTAGGTCGTATAAAATTATAGACACATTGAAAAATGCGAGTCTAAGTTTTGAAAAATGGGTTGTTGTGATAAGATTCACTGAGAAATGTTTTGAACCCTTTATAGTGTAAACATATTTTATTCAAAATAAATTGAACTAGGATTGGTAAACAAGCCGTAATGGCTTATTTGAATACCTCTCCATTTCATTGATACATGAATAAAACAAATATTAAATAATATGCAGCACGATAGGAAAGCAAGCAACCTGCGTATTAAACATTATTAATCATTATTAATCAAATGTGAACCCTTTATATCTTTATGCCAGAGTTACAATCTGCAATCAGCATTGTAGTATGTAAGAAATGTCTGTTTTAACAAAGTGTTGACATTATTAGATTAAGGAGCGTTTTGAAGTGGAAAGTCGACATTTATGAAACTTGTTCAAAAGTAAGTTTAGTTTGACGCTGCTTTCAGCAATATTCCAGGATCAGCACGGAGGGGGACACCAGAAATGGGCTTCATACATTGCACCCATGTGGGGAATCGAACCCGGGTGACGGAAGGGATAAGAGTCAATTGCAATGCGAATCGTCAGTAAATTAAAAGTTAAGCCTGTAATATTTCAGGTTTATTGTGGCTGGAACAAGTTCTAGTGTATTGATATACATTAACAATTGTCACCGAATGACTGTGATATAATTGGCAATGTATCCCAATTGTTTATAAACTAGTTGTAGAACAAAAAACATATCTACCTATAAGGCTACTTAGCAAACATGCTGATGGAGTAAAATATTTTCACACTGCCTCAATTGCAACATGTTAAAGATTTAAATGTCAGAGAAACGTACAATATAAAAGCCATAAAAGAATTTCTTATTCATAGGGAACGTCTGCAAACAGCGAAGCCTTTTGTAACATTCCCCCCACAGCAACATGTGTGTTTAATCTTTACCAAAGAGTGATACCAGGTGTTAGAGATAAAGGTTATTGCTTCCTGTCACACCGATGAGACACACGCACAGGCAAGTCAATTGTTTGAATTGAAACGTGAACCACGATAAGGTGTTTGTTTAAAGGCAGCGTGAAAGGCGTGCATATGTTACTGTGGATAACTTGGTTAAGGTACTTATGTGTATATATAAACGTAACATGACTTAACATATATGGTTTGCCTTGTACGTATACTATGACTTTGTACATGTGGCATTCCTTTGAAAACATTCGGAATCAAATGAGACAGCAATCAATCTCAGAAAAAAACGATAACAATCAAGATAGATTTAAACCTTTTGACAATTCACACATAAAACTATTAACGATCTATGTTTATGCAGTGCATGTCGTATCATCAAGTATAATTTTGTTCATTTACTCACTTAAAACCATTGTGGAAGGAAGGAACTGTTTACTATAGAAGCATAAATCTTACTCTGTTGTTTTAGTCTGTTTTTAGGAACATATTTCAATCCCTCACTTTGTTTGGTTGCAAACCACACGAATGATATCCCAGGTTCATGTTAGCGGTCTGCAAATAACTGAATCTTCTTTTGACGCATTAGGGGACAGTTGGGTAGCCTAACGGTTAAAGCGTTTGTCGATCAAGCTGAAGACACGGGGTCGGTTCCCCACATGGGTACAATGTGTGAAGCCCATTCTGGTGTCCTCTGCCGTGATATTGCTAAAAGCGGCGTAAAACCATACTCACTCACTCATTAGGGATTCATATTATGAGCAAGGAAGCAGAAGGGGTAGGACGATGCGAAACGCAAAAAGCATCGAACCTGAAAACTCGATTTGTTGAGTTTCCCTTCACCACACAAAAAGGCTTGATGAAACCCATTAAAACTCGGAGCAGAATTAGAGATGTCTTAAATCTAAAATAGCACCTGGAGTACATTTTTAGAGGTATTTCTGGTGTCCAGGGCAGTGATCTTGCTAGGATGTTGCTAAAAGCAGCGTAAAACCATACTCACTCACTCACATATTCAGAGGCAAGCGCCATTACCTTAAAAGTTTAAATTTAGTTGTCAAGCAACATATGCTGAATATACTGCAGCTAGTATATGTATGTATAAACAATATGTTATCATTTAGTCAGATGCTGTGTGCTGGCCAATGTCGTTGACCTATGGACAAATTTCATGCAAAGCAGCCAGCCCTCAGCATGCTGGGGCGTAATTAACCACCAACCTCATCAAATCCTTAATGTATTAACCTACAAACTGTTATTTGGCAATAAATGGCTTCACCCATCAAGTGAAAGTCTATCTATGCTTATGATTCACGGAAATAAGTGGATTTAAGATGATAATGGACCTGTTATTTAATCAAAATATCCTTGACAATCTGGTTGCGGTAAAACGTAATAATACTGTGGTAAAGCGTAATGCTGAGATGTTTTAAAAAGAATGTTTTAACATGTTTAGAGGCAAAAGTTATTGTCACATGGAATGTTTGCATTTACAATATTGTGAATGAGTTGGTAGATTTAAACCATGGAATGAATGTGTTAAAATGATCGAAGACAAGCAACCAAGAAGTTTCCGTTCGAATTTTCCTCCAAGCATAACATACTAGCCAGTGTTATGCACTTTAATACGCTTATTATTTTCACTCAATGCAGTCTTAAGAAATGCAGAGGCCATAAACACACCCATTAATCGTTCTGGAACAAGTTCAACATGCCAAACCTCGGATCAAATGACAAAAAGAGAGCTGTTGATATGCTTCAGTATGCAACCTCGCAGATTCCTCGTCGATTCAACGTCCATAGACAAATCATCTGGCATTGTTTTGTGATGCCAAGCCGGAAACAGTCAGAAACGCTAATCGTCTGAACGTCAACTTTCCACTGTGACTTCAAGTCATGAAATTCCCACCCTGCTTATTAATTTTCGGTAGGTTACTTAATAGAGTCTTTGAAGGGCATATAGAGGTGATACACACAAAGACAAGAGTTTGTTTATGGATGACAACTTCTTTATTGTAAAGGGTCACGACGTTTCGAAGTATGTTCTTACTCCTTGATCAGGTGAATGAAACAATTAGGAACAAACAGCTATATATGTATGTACATGTTGAAACAACAACAGTATAACAAAGGAAACCAGTAGTTAATTGGTGGATGGACAAGTGGAAGCCAGGGATTGTTATTCCAGGCATGATAGATAAGAAAAACAAATAGAAGCCAGGGGGATATAATTAGCACTAACTGGGTGGATGGACAAAAAGGAAGCCATGGATTGTTAATCCAGGCAAAGTTGATGAGGTAACAATAGTGGCATATAACAGGGTGGTAAGAACACAATTACTATTACTATTAGGCCTGGCTTCCATTTGTGTTCTTACCACCCTGTTATATGCCACTATTGTTACCTCATCATAGATAAATATTTTATGTTTGGAATTTTAAATTAGTAACTCAGATTGTTGGTGGCTGTATCCTCAAAGGGGGTTAAAGTATTGTACCATTATTGTCCTCCTGAGAAGACATGTAAGTCCCAAAACATTCAAAGTACATGTCTTTTTAATGTATGGCTAGATTTGCTAAAGTGCTAACGGCTGAAGGGATGGTGTAAATCCAGCTAGGGCCAATGCAGGAAGCAAATGTACTGTAAGTCCCCATGGTCCCTAGTATGGTGATCTACCTTCAGTTGTTGGCAATCTATAACCTGTTTTTACATTGTATTGTCATGCATAGTTAAATATTATAGATTAGTTACTAGTTTTATATTTATATCTGGGATAATCTAGTTGTTTTACTCCTCGTTGACAGAATTTTGTAATTTACCTTTATTTGTTATTTATAACTTGATTTAGTCACGATATGGCTGAAATATTGCCGATGTGACTTAAACTCTTAACTCACTCACTCACTCACTCGAATATACTGCTAGGTCAAAGTTCTTATTTTTCTTGTTTCATAACTGAATAAATTCCGTGATTCTAAGTCTCTCTTATCTCCTCTTTAACTTATTTTATGAATATCATATCAAATATTCAATGTTCCCATTGTTTTCCTATGATGTCTATTGTTTTCTTAAACGATTCCATGTTAACAGATAAGTACAAGAGCGTCCATTTCCCCGCTGATCAGGTTTTCCTGAGAAGCTGACTGATGAAGCTCTCATACAATACCCAGATTTGCCATTGCACATCTGACAAGTATTTTAAAATCAGTACGTAAACTTTGTTATTCCCAATGTAGAGGAAACTAATTTTGTTATATTTTCAGTGTTCTTATTTATCCAAATAAAAGAGAGAGACTTTTAAATGATCACTTCTATATATGGCCAAACTTAACTAAATATTGGACTTAAGTTTTAATGTCAAATTGCTGCACATCAATTGGATAAATACATACTTGTTCTCATGTATAACTGATGGTTAGTGAGTGAGTGAGTGAGAAATGGCCTTTCACATTGTGGGGGAAT